CCCGGCGGCTGAAAGAGAGACTTGTTTAGCGGAGCCCCCCGCACGCGAGGGGCGGGGCAAAGAGCGCGCGGCGCGGCAAATCTCCGCTCCGCACTTCGCCGGGGCCATGCCTCTCACCCTCCTCGCATATTCAAAAAAAAAAAAAATACATCAAATAAATAAATAAATACGCGGCCCAACGCACGGGCGCCAACAAGTGCTAAATAGCTAATTTTTTTATAATTTTTTTTTTGCAGGGATGTTTATTTATACCTTGCTAAAAACTCTTTGGCCACCGGTCCCTTATATACGGGGTTGGTGTTTGCTTTGGAGCTTTCTCGACCTACACAAACACGTTGGGTTGACTGAGAGATTTCAGCTCCGGGTAGGTTCGGGGAGGAGTGGGGGAGAGTTTATTTATGTATTTAATTATTTTGGTCCAAATATGTCTTTTAAAAATCAATACAATTAATCTGTCAGCTCCACGTGTCTCAGAGACGGAGAAGGTGGTGGAGGGTCCCTTTGGGCTGGGAAAAATCGATTCCCCGATTAATTGACCCAAAAAAAAGAGGGGGGGGAGGGTGGAAGTTACAAAGCGGCGGCGAGGGGGTGGCTGGAAGAGGGACGGAATTTCATCCCCCTCGTCCCGGTTCGCCCCAGCAGCCTTCCCCGGGGGGGGACTGTACCTCGCTGGGGCAAGGACCCGGGCCCCGCAGCGGCACCGGTGCCTGCGCTCCGCTCCTGCCCGGCTGCCGGCCGGCCGGCACGGCGGCAGCCCTTCGGGGAGAAGCCTCCCCACCTCCTGGGCGGCCGCCTCCCTCGGAAAAGGCCCAGGCCTCGACAGGAGGGGGAAGAACGACAGCGCAAGGGTCTGCATAGGTTGGGTTTGGGTTGGGTTTTTTTTTTTTCCCCTCGTGGTTTCGCCCACCGGCTGGGAGACCCTCCTCCCGCAGCGCTCTCCGGCGCCGGGCGGAGACCGAAGGCCCCCGGGGTGGCTCGGCACCGGGCCGCTCTGTCCCCGGGGGGGGCTGCGGGCCGGTTTGCCCGGGCTCCCCCCCGGGAAAGCGATGAGCCCCCGGGAGGCCAGCCCTCCTTTGCCACGTCTACGGGCGGCCCCGGGGCCCTGTGCCGGCCCATTGCACGGCGGCGGGGATGGGGGGGGGTGTCTTATCCTCCCCGGGCCCGAGGGGCGCTGAGCTCCCGGCAGCCGGGCGGGGGCTCCTTCACCAAGTTTTACAGCCTGTTTTTAATACGTGCCAACTTCTATATAAATGGCACTTGTAAACGTGTCCGGCTTCCTCCCGTGCAAACGAAAGGGGGTCGGAGCTTGCCGGGGGAAAGGAAAATAAAACCGGAGCTAACTACCTGTTGGAAAGGCATCCTCAGGGCTCCCATATTCACATAGGGGGCCACTCTGCAGGCGTCTAAATGGCTGGCGGTTCCCAGGATCACACCTGCGGGGAGAGACAGGGCCGGGTGAGCGGCGAAGGCGTCCCGGGGCTCGGCGGCCGGCAGCCCCCGGCCCGCCCGCCCCCCTTCCTCACCTTTGTGCATCTGGTTCTCCTGCTTTCGGCACTTTGCTCTCCTGTTCTGGAACCAGACCTGTGAAAAGAAAACGCAAACAAAAAAAAAAAACCCAAAAAAACAACGACAACAAAAAATGGAGGCAGACTGGGCGGCTGCTAAGAGAGGATTATCTCGGGGGGAGGGATGGAGGGGAGAGGCGAGGGACTCCGCGCAACTTTGCTGAGGGCTCTCCTCGGGAGCAGCCGAGGGGGAGGGGTGCCCCCCTCTACGTGCTGCCGTGGGGGCTGTTTGGGGGGGGATCCTGCTCTTTGGTGCCGTTTCTCAGCGGGAGCTGAACCTGGGAGATGAGAAGCGCCCTGGCAGCCGCGGAGCCCGGGAGCTTCGCACCGAGTGTCCGAGACCCCCGTGTCCCCCGGGCGGGCAGTGGCGGTCCTTGTGGCACCCGTCTGGAGCGAGGGGCCGCTCGCACAAGCACTTAAAATAAGCCCACGGGCAGGCCGGGTGGGACCCTCGCTCCCTTTGCAGTCACCCCTCAGCATCCCGGGGACAGCCAGCCTGGGCCGGGCCAGGCGCCGGGGTCTGGCCCCTAAGCGCCAGGGCCGCCTGCTCCCTCCCAGCTGGGCTTGGAAGTGAGGAAGACCTCGGGGAAGATGCGAGGTACTGAACTTGCACAAAGGAGCCGAACCCTTCCCCAAACGTTAAAAGAAAACAAAACTCGCTCCTGTAGACTTCTGGACAGACACGAGCAACAACATCTTTGCAGGCGGGGATGTAAAGAAGGGCTTATGCCCCTACCCGAGAAATGCCTGTAATCCAGTAATCCTGCCCTAATTCCAGCCGTTCTGACTCAAACAAGCGCAGAACTTGCAGTGGCCGCTGCGCCTCCCCTGCCTCTTTTCCAGGGGCATTTCAGCCCTTCAGACCTACTTTCCCCCTCCGAGGCGCCCGGGTTAGCAGCTCTCCCCAAAGGCTCGTCAGAGGCACGGCCCAAAATGTTTCGCGGCCCCTCGTCCTTACACCAAAACCTACCGATTGGGGACAAACATTGACTTTCACCGCTGATAAAAATCTTGTAGCTAAGTAAACACCTACAACCTTTGATGTTCTTGCACTTGCCAAGAGATCATACGGTTAATTAATACTAACTGCACTTCCTACATCAAATTTTCCCTTCAAGCTTTCTTCAATTGCCTTAATGATGGTCATTTACAACGGAGTAATTAGTGCAAAGAAAGGCTTCCAAAGGCATTAATTACCTCGGGTACCTCAGTGATTTTCTTAAGTAGGAATTGGCCTTCTCTGATTTGGAGCACCATTTTTCCTGCCTAGGGTGGCCGGGGGGGAGCGGGCAGCGGGCGGCTGCGGAGATGGACCGACCGACCGACCGACCGACCGACGGACGGACGGACGGACAGACAGACAGACAGACAGTCTGCTCCCGTTCCCTGCTCCCCGCCGGCTTGTCGCTAGCGCAGCCCTCCCCGCGCTAACGGGGCATCGCTGCCCTGAAACGCGCAGCACGGCACAAGTTGTTTTTCCCTATCAGCAATACGCAAATATTAACAACATGCAACGCTTCTCCTTTTAACCGGGCCGTTAGGGATTTATATTTTTTTTTTTTTAAATATGAGCATGCAAACTATCGTGGTGCTGTAGCGACAATAATACTTTTTTTTTTTTTTTACGGTTGTAAATCCTTTCAGAAAAATCCCCTTGTTGTTTCCCCCCCCCCCCCCCCCCCCCCCCCGGAGTATAAATTGTCAGGAGGAATTTAAGCAGCGTTTAAACAACTTCTCTTGCAAATCAGAACATCTTTCAAACAGAAATTATATTTAAATCTGGAAAACGAAGTGCCCTTTCCCTTTAGCTATGAAAAAATAAGGTTATGAGGAATAAAAGTGATGAATTAGCCACTACGTTAAGCGATAATAAATCAGGCTTGGTGTGATTCACGATCAATTCCAATTAGTCATGAATATGCTAAGTAAAGCGCAGTACACTGTTTTAGACAGTTATTTCTTCATTAAGGATCACTCAGTGATTTCTTTCACAAATGCTCTAATCTGATTTCCTTTTGATTTCCATTAGAGACAGTGAATAATGACATTTAATTTAGCCCTGCACCATAAACCCAAAGATATTTGTTGTAATTGAATTACTGCCTGCTCCTCACTATGGTCTCATAACTTTCAATTATAACCCTGACAGCTGGGTGATATGAGTTTCCAGTACAACACTAAAAATAAAAGGTTAATAAGGACTAGCTACCATAGGAGCTTCAATTTATTTACAGCAAATTTCCACACTAAATTGAAACTATATCCTTTAACAGCAAGGGACAAGCAGTTCAGATAGGAATTAGAGAACAATTCTGAAAGTATTAAAAAAAAAAACCCTTTCCCTTTTCCCCCCTTCTCCTCCTTTTTTCCCGCTTCCATTTATTGATGAATATCAAGCTCTCTGCTTATTTCCTAATTAATTATCCATTTCTCCTCTTTTCCCTCTTGATATTTCTTTTATTTGTAGTTTTATTTTCATCCATGCAAACCTCTTTTGTAAGATGATTAAATTTATTAAATTTTTTTGTCTCATAATCTCCGCCTGAATCAGTATCTTTTTTTTTTTTTTTTTTTTGGTGTGCTGTTTTAAGATCTGTAAGCACTTGAAGCACCAATTTTCCTGTAACTATGAACATCCTGTTAAGGTGCTGCTCAGTAATAAAGTACTTGAAAGAAAGAGTGCAGAATTCAATTACAAGTAATTTATTTTTATAGAAACAGTACATCAAGGCCTTGGAAAGATATTACAGAGCCCAAGTAAGAAGATCTGGGAAGATGACATAAGAGTTGATGTCCCCTTCAGCAAAAGTTTAATCTTTTCATTAATTTATATGGTGTGGTTAGATCAATCTTCCAGGAGAAAGTAGGCCAGCAGCACTCTGAACCCCTGCAATATCCCCTGCAAGCCACCCTTCCTAAGGCATGTGCCCGGCACCAACCCTCGCCCAGCTCGGTTTATACTGAGAGGCAGGAGCTGAGGGGAGAAAAGAGCCTTTAAAAAAAAAAAAAAACCAACAAAACAAGAAAGAAAACGACCTAGCTACTCTATTTATTTCGGGAAATGCCTCTCAGGAGGCGGTTGTTTAAAGCCAGATAGTCGCTTGCTCGGGCAGAGGCTTGGGAGCGGGTCCGGGGGGAGTGGGAGCTGCCTCTGCTTTCCACGGGGGGCACGTTGAAGGGGGGGGACAAGCCGACCCCTCTCCCCACTCCAGCTCGGGGCTGTGTTTGCCGTCTTCCCCCTGTGCCCTGGGGGTGAGGGCAGGCACGGAGACGGCCGCCTGTGCCCACGCAGCCACACCCGCACCTATGGGTACCCACGCGCGCGCACCTATAGGCAGATATACATATGCATGCGCATCTCTTATCTCCGGGGTGCGAAGGCGTTTTGCTCAGTGGAGGGGTTGGCTTGGTGACTTTTTCTTCTTGGGTTTGGGTCTGTTAGGCCAAGCACAGAGTTACAGCCCAAGCAGGGATTTCCTTCAGTTTCTCCTGCTCTAGGCCTGCTCATAGAGCCACAGGTTGATCTTATTAATTATTTCTAGGAGGGGTTTTTTGTTGGTTGGGGGTTTTTTTTGTTGGTTTTTTTTTAATACGACATCTGGTTTGGGGATGCATTCCCTAGTTAGCTTAAGGGGAAGGGGCGGGGGGGGGGGGTTTTTTTCCCCTGCATCAAACCGAAAATCAAATTTTAAAATAATCGATGTGAAACCACCCAAACAGACGGCTCTGATAGCTCCAGAACTACAGCAGCCCGGACCTATTTTCAAGGTTTCGAAGGCTAATTGGTATTTAGCCGTATCTGAAGCGGGATGGGAGGCGCGGGAGGAGACTCTACCAGATGGGGTGCCATGCATTCATATGCTTGCTGCGCGAATCAGAGCGGGCACCTTTCCCCCGGCTCTGGCTAATCCCGTCCCTCAGCACCCAAACCGTCTAGCCTTATTCACGGCGATTGTTTTCTGGGCTTTTTTTTCCATAACGGCCCCATAAAAGGAGGGGGAAGAAAGTGTGGATTAAGGGAGAGTTAATGGCACGTTTGCAAGGAAAAATACAATAATTAAAACAAAAAAAAAAAATAGCGAGTTGCTCAGCTATTAGAGACTTGTCAACACTAGCACCACCACCACCACTACTAACCCCCCCTGCCCGGAAAAAAAAAAAAAATCCTTCCTAGGAAATGCAAGGCACGGGCAGATACTCCCAGAGCAGAATTACTGTTTGGCAGGACAGGTACAGCGGAGTTGCAACCAGCTTCCCCATCACACGTGTCGTCTCTGCCTTCACCTCCCCGCTTTGGATGAAACGGGGCACTGTGCTAGGATCCGCTGGCAGTTAGGAAGTGAGGTGAGGACGTTTCCAGGAACAGAGCCTTTCTCTTACCTGAACCCTAGCTTCAGACAGTCCCAGCCTCTGGCTTAGTTCCTCCCTCATGAAGGCATCCGGATAGTGAGTCTCATCAAAAAGTCTTTCCAGCTCATTCAGCTGCTCTAGTGTGAAATTGGTTCTGCTTCTCCTTTGTTTGAGCTTGGTCTGTCCATCTTCATCTTCTGACTTCACATCTTCCCTCTTCTCTTTGCACTCGTAGATCCCTGCCGGGAGGGGGAAGGGGAAAACGACACTGAGCCTCCCCTCGCACCTCTCCGAAGTTTCTCTCCGCAGCGCACGGGGGGCACCCCCCTCCCCTCTCTTCGTCCCCAAACTCAGCACGACATGCGGGGGCAACGGGCGGGCGGGCGGGGGGGGTCCCCGGGCCGGCCCCGGAGGGGCGAGGGGGGCTGAGGCCGGGCCGGGGGGCACCGCTGCCAGCCCCGGGCCGAGGCGGGGAGGAAGGGAGGGAGCCGCTCTGCCTTGCCTGGCTGATGCCCCATCAGAAAAAAACCTATATCTAGAAATACAATTTTGTTTTCTTTCCAGGGTGAGGAGGAAGCCGTGCCGCCGGTTGGCACGGACAGTTCGGGGAAGGGGCTGGTAGGGAAGCCGCCGGCCCCCCGATACCTCCAGGCGGGGAAGGGCATTTCTGCATCGCCCTTTTCTCCAAAAGAAAAGGGGGTTATCAAAAAAGCCCCCCGCCGCTGTCATGGAGAAGCCACGGTGAAAATACTTGCCTCGTAAAAGAAACTTTCCACGGGCCTGAGACCGACACCGTCTGTCCCTCTCCCCCTTATCACCCCTCCTGCCCCCAAAATACCTGCCGGCGGGTCGAACCCCCCGGGGCGGTGGGCCTGCACGGCCCGGGCTGGGGGAGCGCCCTCAAGAACCATGGCTGCCCCCCCAGCCCCTCCAAAAGAGCAGAGAGCCCCCCCCAGCCCCCACGGAACCCAAGAGGGCTCGGGGCGAGCCTGCGGCCGGAGGCGGCCGCTCTGCACGCTTGTCCCGGCCAGAGGGGAGGAGGGCTGGGGAGGCAGCGGGGAAAAGCAGTTGCCCTTTTTGGTCTTGGCGAGGAGGGGTGATTTCTTTTGCTTTGGCAAATTATCTTTCTTTCCTTCTCTTTTTTTTTTTCCTCCCTTTTCCTTAATGCCAGGCGGCAGTAAGGCACCGGCCCGCTTTTAAATCCGGCTAACGAAGAGAGGAGAGGTGCTGGAGCAGGGGGCACCTCTGGCGGCTGGACCGGTTCCCCGGGCTCCCCTGCCCGCCCGGGGTGCGCATCCAGCGCGGGCACCGGCGGAGTCCCGGGACGAGCCGGCTCCGGCTGCCTCCTTTGTCCTGCTTCACCTTCTGGGCGCTGTGGGGCTGGGGTGGGGGAAGCCATATCTGCAGACGATCCCGAACTGAATCCGTTTTCCCTCACCAAATACGCACATATTTTCTCTATGTATATGTATACGCACGCACACAAATGTGCGCACGCACATATATACTAACCTCTATACTTAGGGGCATCCCAAAATGCAAATCACGAGCTGCAAGTCGTAACTTAATTGAACGTAATAAAACGTCCTGAACTGCATCTGTGCTTAAGCAAGGCGGGGACCCAAGCCCAAGAGCTGCTTTTCACTTCCGAGACCAAAACTGTCCCTGGCCAGAATCGCTCCTCCGGGCTCCCCGTCTCCCACTCCGGGCTGCGTATCGGCTGCCTAAAACTTTGGGAAGGGTCTGGCCTCCGGAGGTGCGTGTGGGGGGGTCGCTGGGTGGTTTTAATGGCGTTTTGTTCGCATTTCTCCCGTAAGGGGAACCCCTATGAAAAGACGAGGGTGCTAACCCAGCAAATGCCTAGGGAAAATTAGGCGCGTTCACAAGCTCTGTCTCCTTTCGGAGAGCCGAGGCTACAGCTTGTCCGCGATAGGTATAAAATATTAACTAGCATATCGGTGGGACTGAAATCACACGCCGGAATCAGTTGAAATTACACTGAAACCTGGCATGAATTTAAACTGTCACAAGCATCTCAGCTCTTTCCAACTCCTCCCTTCCATCCCCACCCCCAGCCCCTCTCCATAGATTAGATTAGCTAAACATACAAGCCAGAATTTCGATACACAGGGAAAAGGGAGAGTAGTAGAGATATTTTTTTTCGTTCGTTCGCATTATAATTTTTTTTTTTTAGATTTTTTTTTTCCTGGAGCATGCCCTGCTTTCATTTTTTAAAACCATCTCCTGCGCGAACGATTCCTCTAAACCGAACCCTCTCTTTTTGCAATCTCTCGACCAGAGAAGGAAAGTCGGCAGTGCTGAGCGGTACTGGCTTGTGCAGAAATACGGGTACCCGAATATGTGATTCTACACGGTCCTTCTGTTTGGGGAGGGGGTGGAAGAGAGGAGGATATTAAATAAGCGTTTGGGCTGTAAATTAAATTGCCTCTCGCCCAATGTTATATTAAACAAGATCAAACAGTAGGAAACAGCTGAAAGACTGGTTGTTGTTCCCCAACCTATTAACCGTTTTTTATTACCCCAAGCTAGCCAGTAGCTCCCCAGGCAGGTCCACCTGTCTAACTTGCCTAGAGACACTTTCTCAACTTTCTAATCCCCCCGCCCTTTTTATTCTCTCCTTCCCCTGCCAGCCCGTGCGGGATTTTCGGCTTGCTTGGTTTAAAAAATTATTTTTAAATTGTAATTTCTGTTCCGCTACGAGAAGGAATGGCGTTTTGCCCCTCGGCCGGCGGCGCCCGCCGCCCGGGGGGATGCGGTGCTGCCCTGGCCCGGGTGAGAGGGGCTGGCAGGGCACCGAGGGACCGGGCGGCCGGTGCCTCTCTCCGCAGGGATGCTCGGTCTCACCCGGGCCCGGGCAGCTCCCCCACAGCCAGGCTCCTCTCCTCCTCCTCCTCCCCTCCTCCTCCTCCTCCTGGCCGGCCGGAGCCTCTGGCTAAGGGCAGGCTGACCGGCACCGGACAAAATGTCCAGGGAGAGCCCCCTCCGCATCCAGCCTTCTCCCAGAAGAAGCAGCAGCATCCTGACGGCCCGGAAGCAGGAAGAACAGGTCTCCTAAGGCATTAAAACTCCCCGGACAAGGTTTCCTCGTACCAAAATAGAGACAGACAAAAATGTCTGACGTCCTGCGCTGCCCCCTTCCCCCGGGCGAGCGAGCGCCCTAACGCACCGGATCGATTTCGGATGCGAACGGGGGGCTGGCGAGGAGCGGGGGCGGGGAGCGGGGGGGGAAGGACCGAAATTGCGACTTATTTTTCAGGGCTACGTTCCCGTTCTGCATGCGGGCGTATGTGTTTCCAGGCGTTATGTCCCCGGCGCTGCGGGAAGGAGGCGGCCGGAGGAGGGAGGCAGGAGGCGGGAGGCGAGCCCGCTCGCCCCGCCGGGGTC